CGGTGCCAAAGTCACAACACGAGACTTTTACTTGACTCTACTACTCTCGAGCAGGAACTACACACCACTAACAATGATGACGACGACTACTACCACGACGGCGACTACGACAACGACGACGACGGAAATAAACGGAAATACACATACACGCACGGACACACACACTCACCCATCGACTAGCGAACTGTGTGTATGACTTTTTTCCATTCTGCAGATTGTTGGTTGGTTATTTCGAGTTAAGTAAAGTTAGCAAAATTTATTTGTTGTTTGCCAAACGAAGAGAAGTAGTGAATAATTTAAGCGGAACCAAAGCCAGAACGGGTCGAAATATTTTTATAAAAAAATAATATGGAATATGGAAGCAAAATTCCGAAAACAAACGAAACTAAAAATGAAATGAATTGAAGTGTAATAAAAAACGTGAAGCTCAAGGAAAACAAAAAAAAAAAAAATTATTAACAAAAATAAAAATCACATAAAAATATTTTCTGTTTTATTGAAAACAGCAAAAAAGAAGAATAATAATGGAGTCAGTGGAAACCCCCCCTAAAATGCTATTGTGTGTGATGAAATCATGTGATAAAAATAAATTCCAAAAGTGGAGCCACCAAAAATGAAGTTGTTGTGTGAAATTTTTTCTGTTCATTCAATGTCAAGCTAACTGAAGAAAAAAGTGTTTTTCGCTGAGGAAAGTTGCAAACAACAAAGAAAACGTAAAAGAGAAAAATTGTTGAAAAGTGAAACGGATTAGTTTAAAAAAATTTTGCCGTTCTTAAGTAGTCAAACATATTGTCCGCTTTTACAGCTGATATCGAAATATTCCGCACAAATTTCTATGAAACGCATTATCGTTGTCCAATGTTAATATTTTAGCGTCCTCAACTTCTGCTATGCTTTTCGAATTGTTGTTGTTGCTGCCGCTGCTGTTGGTCTCCACTGCTTACGTTAACGCAACTGCAACTAATCTCATCTCCAAAAAGTTTCTGCTGCTGATGCCATTGCTCCGATTGCAGTCTCTAAAGTGATGTTGTTGCTGCTGTCATTCAATCTGCTCTGCAAATAAAACAAATTTGGAGTTTTATCTCTTTACGCAAAACAAGAAGAAAGAAAATCAAAAAAAGCAAAACGATAAAGGAAGTGAACAAACAGGAAATAAAAAAATAACAAATACCATGTGACAACGCCTAAAACTATACTATAAAAAATAAAAATAACCAAATTTTGAAAAGCAAAGAAGAAATTTTAGTAAAAAAATAAAGTTTTTTTGTAACAAATAAAAGTAGAAATTGTAATTACTAAAATTAAATAAAAAAATTTAATAAATAAAGAAACTCTCTCAAATTCCTTCGCTTAGTTGCTTAGTGTGCGTTTTTTTTTAATTTTTTCCAAAAATAAATTTTAAAGTTGTGCAGCGCGCGCTTCTTTACCCAAAAGTGAACTTTGTTATGCCCTCTCACTCTCTGCCTAGAATATCTATGGACATTTAAATGAGAACCGAGCCACATTAATATTTAATACCTTGTGTTTCGTAACTGTTGCTCTCATGTAAAACAAAAGAAAAGCAAAACAAGCAAAATCCGCTGTGATATAAAGTGGCTTATAGCACTCAAAAAATATTTTAATAATTAATAATAGAAATATATTTAAAATTAAAATAGCAAATAATAGAAAAACACAAACCGAATCAGCTCAATTTTTATCCTCCAAACAAAGTCCACAATTTAAATAAAATATTTATAATAAAAATAAGTGCTATAACACCAACACATATAAAAAAAAAATACAAAACTCGGTTTCGTCCATATTAATTAAAATTTAAAACAAAATATAACAGTAGTCAATCGAAATTACAGCAGTTTTAAGAGATAAATAAAAAAATATATAAGATATCACAGCTACGAAAAAAATAATTAGAATATTTAAACATCACATAAAGTAAGAATATAAAGAAAAGTATAAAAATAAATCAAACATACAAAAAATATAAATTTTCAAAACTGTTTCTTTTTTTTTTTGAAAATATATATAAATTACATAATAAAAAAAATGAAAAAAAAATTTATAAAATAATAAAAAAACCATATGGTCACACTCATGTAAAAATAAAAAATAAATATTTGTAAATAATAAATATTTGTAATTCTTATAAGAAAACAAAAGATACAAACCAATTTTTTAATCTAACTAGAGACCCTGAAACAAAAAAAATTTTTAAGCACTATTTGGGTTATAGAATGTGTTGAAAAAAGTAAAGGAGTGTAAAGTTTGGGTCTAACTACCAAAAAATGTTTCAAAATACACTCAAATTTAATTAGAGATTTTGAATACAGTGATATTAACGAGCTAAATTAAATATGTTTGTCAATAAAACACAAAGTTTTTTTTTAAAGTAAAAATTTAACATTTCGGAAAAAGTGAATGAAGCTAAATAAAGAATTACATCGTGATTACTATAAAAAACAACAAATTGAGATATATTTTCTATAAGAGTTACAAGTTGATAATCATTGTAGATGCCGGGTTAATTTTAAATATGAAAAAAAGATACCAAACATACATTAAAATTTGAGAAAAACTCAACATTTATGATTCGATGTCCTGAATTTTTGAACAGAATTATATTTTTAATTCCGCAAAATAGAATTTGAGTATCTCACTGATATTTCCTAAAATACGATTCAATGATGTCTTTTCAAAAGCTGTTGATCACTTTTATAACAATAAATCTTCAATGATGTTGGATTAATTATTGCAGCTCTTGGAGAGGGATTTCTAATAACCACTTTCGAATGCCTCAATGAGGACCTATCCCTCTCAGCATACGCAAGAAAAATAAATTCATTATTTTTTCGGCAGATGACTGTACTGATAGATTTCTCTTAAAGTATCGATCAAACAATTGCAGACTTATGCTCGTTGGAAGGGTGACATTTCGCAGTAAACTTTGCTTTTTTTGGTCGGTGCATTCAGTTGTGAGTTACAGGGTGTAAAAAATGGAAGTGAACAAAAAGAAAATTCCGAACATTTTATAGTTCTTCTTTGACAAAGGCGAAAATGCAAGCCAAGCGGCTAAAATTGTGAATGGTGTTTATGGTTCCGATACTGTGTCAGCCAATTATGTGCAATTTTGGTTTCGGTGATGAATTAGGAAATTCTGATGTTAAAGATCGGAGAAATGAAATGATCAAAGCTGACCGACATGTTACGACTTCGCCCAGGAGTTAAAAATTGTCCATATTTTTTTTAAACGATTTACAAGTGGACAGAAACGGCCTGAATTGGCCACCATGGAAAGGTGTCGTGTTCCACCAGGAATGCTCGATTTGGCCAAAATCGCGCATGGGGTTAAATAAAGTCCTAAATAATGGATTTCTTTTTCCCCAACTTAATATTTTGGGGATGAAGTCGACGCTCTAGAGACCATAAATATGACCCAAACATCACGAAACTTTACACAAAATCTATTTACCCAACGGCACTATGGGCCAATAATCCAATTCTTTGGCAAAAGTCATCTGATAACTTTGAGCTTTGCTCCAGTAAAATGTTATCTCATTGTGGGTCACGCTTTACAAAAAACATAAAGTCACGTTCTGAATATAACTTATTAAAAATAATGTGACTGTTACTGTATCTCCCTATTTTTTATACGCTTCAGCACACCGTGGTACAGGGTATTATGTCTTTGTGCATATGTTTGTAACAGGCAAAAGAAAACGAGATAGACATGTAATCACGTGAGAATATGCATGTAATCACTTTTTAAGTCGATTTATGCATGTCCGTCTGTCTGTCCATGTTGAATTGTAAAAAAGTAGAGGTCGAATTCGAATTGGATGTAAATTGGCACATTTTATTTATTTGGCCCAAAGACGAACCGAACCCTATTGAAATTAGGAAAAATCGGTTCAGATTTAGATATAGCTCCCATATATATATTCGTCCGATTTAAGGTAAACGGTGCACCAAAGTACCTATATATTTCGATTTGCACGAAATTTGGTATAGCGTACTGAATTAGATCCAGAATGATGTGTGCGAGAAAATCGGTTCAGATATATATTTTAAGGCAAATGGGGCACCAATGTTCCTATATATCTTTCGATTTGCACGAAATTTGGCACATCATATTGAATTGAGTCTAGAACGACGCGTGCCAAGTTTCGAGAAAATTGGGTCAAATTTATATATAGCTCCCATATATATTTTCGGCCGATCTATGGTAAATGGGGCTTCAAAGTCCCTATATATCTTTCGATTTGCACGAAATATGGCACAGGGTACTCAATTAGGTCCAGAGTGATGTGTGGTATGTTTCGTGAAAATCGGTTCAGATTTAGATATAGATTCAATATATATATATATATATATATACATATTTTCGACCGATTTAATTTAATTTGTATCATAAGTGTTAATTTGGCACTCATAAGTGTGGTTTAAAAATAAAAACCTGGATCTACTGACAGCATTTATTTGCTCAATATTAAATAGAAATAAAAAATATCGATGATAAAACTGATTGAAATGTGTTTAAACTGATTAAACGTATTGCATAATAATACTCTATTAAATGTTTTACAGTTCATAATAATTTTGAAAAAATAATACAAAAAAAAAAAAAACAACGAAACAAAAAGCACAACAACATAAATATAAAATAAACGCTTAAAATATCAAACCAATTTTAACACAAAAATTTGCTGTAAAATCATAAGCTAAGCTTTAGTATAAACTGACATCAAAACTAAAACAGAATAACAAAAAAACTGGTTTTCAGCACAAGCAATTTATTTTTTAAAACGAAAATAATTTTCAAACTTTACGGCTACAACGCATATCAGAAAACCAGCAAAGGAAAACAACAACAGCAAAAATGCAATAAAAACAAAACCAATTATTAAAATTTAACAACAATTAATAAATCAACTACAAAAAATCAACATTTTGACTACCTTGTACTAAAAATTTGAAAATAAAAAAAAAAACATTAACACAACATGGTTGGTTCACATGATTCGGGAACGTGTGACTGTTGTGGTACATCCAGTGGTGGCAGTACCGAACGCAGGCAACAACAACAGCAGCTACAGCGGGCACATTTGCAACCATTGCCGATACAACCAATATTACCAGCGGGCCCACCACCTCAAGCTGCAGCGGCTGCCCAACAACGTCAGCCCCAGCAGCAACAACAACCTGCTGCCGGTGGCGCCGCTGCTGCAGATAATCCAAGACCACCTGGCCAACAGGCAAGACCCCCACAACAACAACAGCAACCACCACAACATGTACAAGATCAACAGAATAATAATAACAACAACAATAATAATAACAATAACAACAACCCGCCTCCTGCACACGTCAATCCACAAAATTTGGCCCAACAACGTAACATTGCCCATTACGTCAATCAAGTTAATCTCCACTTAAATTTGACCAACAACAATCCGGAACAGGCGCCACCCCAGCAGCAGCAGCATCAACCACCACCGGCCCAGCACCAGCAACCGGCACATGCTCCACCTCCACAATTGGGCCGCGATTATGTCTACAATAACAATAATAATCACATTTATGTCAATCCGCATTCCTACGATACGAACACTGCCACCAGTCTAACCAATACCACAGCCTCACAAAACACTGCCACTGGATCAACGGCCCAGGCGGTGTCATTGCAGCATACCACAGCCGGTGGCAACACTGGAGGAGGTGGTGGCCATGGTGATCATGAAAACAACAATGGCTATGTCGGCGGAGGAGGTGGTGGTGGTTCAGAGGCCGGCGCTGTCGGTGGTGGTGGTGGTGGGGGAGATCTAACACGCCAACACACTTCCACAACCTTGAGCACACTCAATACATATCTCTTTCCCTGTGGTGCAGATTCGGCCGGCACCATAGGCGGTGTGACCTTTAATGGCAGCCACTCTTGCGATTTGGATTCGAACTTCAGTCGCATGGTTGCCGGCAGCAGTGATGCCGGTAGTTCGACCATAAGTTCTGGCTTGGGTTTTATCAACAAGCGACGCATAAAACGTCTCTTTGGTGTGGGTGGTGGTGGACCCTATGCTTCGGCTTTACGTCGGCGCAGTTCACATCTAATACAATTTCAAACTGCCGCCATGGCTGCCAAGAAACAACAGCAACTGGAACGAGAAGCGGCCGTGGCCTCAGCCAATGCTGCCTTCTACGAGCAACAGAAAAAGAAGAAGGAGAAGAAAAAACCACCAGGCCCAAGGCCACAGCAACAGAATCAGAATTCCCGACAAATGGAAGATCCCATGATGAATCGTCCGCGGCGTAATACCAACAAGAAGAAGGATGAACCCAACCCCTATGAACAGCATCTGCAGGCTCTGGCCGAACAACATGACAAGTATTCACAAACAAACACACTCAAAACCCAAAACTCTTATATATTTGCCTTAATTTTCAATATGGCTTTAAGCAGCCGCCCAAATACTACCACCATATTTTGCAATGCCAAAATCAAAACCCAAAACCAAAACTATAAATATTCAAATAATTTTAGTTGAAATATTGTTTTTGAATAATAAAAAAACGCTTTTTATCACAATTTTGTTGCACTTTTATTTTTTGATTTTTGTATGGAAAGCAGCTTCCATAAAGGCCAAAGGTTAAGTTCAAATTGCTTTAAAGTTATATTTTTATAATCAAATATGTTCTGTACATCTTTATATAAAAAATAGCATTTCGAAACGACAACTAACAATTAGAGTTATGCAAACAAAAATTGAAATTCCGCACCCTGTTACTGACACCTGTATCCAAAATTTGATAACAAATTTTTTTGAGAGTCTACTTACACAATTTCCATAATTTTTTTTGACAAACAAATTTTTGCTTAAATACGCAATTTTTTTCTTTAGTTTGTAGCTTTGAAAAAATCCAGTTTCAGCAAACGTCTTTAGCTTACACAAAATATGCTTATAGTAATTTAAAATAAATTTACAATATTTAAAAATTATTAAAAAAAGAATACAAAAAATTAACACAAATTTTGGGTGGGATATGAAGTAATTTAAGACAGATTTTTTTTATGAAAAATATCGTAAATATATTTTTTGATTATAGAACAGAGTACTGTGGAATGTGGATACCTTTTTCTATAAAAAAATCCACAGTACTCAAATTCTGCAGAAAAAAATTCCACAGTCCACTGTGGACTCTTTTTTCTATAGAAAAAAATTCCTCAGACCACTGTGGACTCTTTTTTCTATAGAAAAAAATTCCACAGCCCTCTGTGGACTCTTTTTTCTATAGAAAAAAATTCCACAGCCCTCTGTGGACTCTTTTTTCTATAGAAAAAAATTCCACAGTCCTCTGTGGACACTTTTTTTCTAAAGAAAAAAGTTCCACAGTTCTCTGTGGTCTCTTTTTTCTATAGAAAAAAATTCCATAGTCCAATGTGGACTTTTTTTTCTATAGAAAAAAATTCCACAGTCCACTGTGGACTCTTTTTTCTATAGAAAAAAATTCCACAGTCCACTGTGGACTCTTTTTTCTATAGAAAAAAATTCCAAAGTCCACTGTGGACTCTTTTTTCTATAGAAAAAAATTCCACAGTCCTCTGTGGACTCTTTTTTCTATAGAAAAAAAATTCCACAGTCCTCTGTGGACTCTTTTTTCTATAGAAAAAAAGTTTTTTCTACAGAAAAAAATTCCACAGTGCCCTGTGGACTCTTTTTTCTATAGAAAAAATTCCACAGTGCCCTGTGGACACTTTTTTCTATAGAAAAAAATTCCACAGTTCTCTGTGGACACTTTTTTGTATAGAAAAAAATTCCACAGTCCTCTGTGGACTCTTTTTTCTATATAAAAAAATTCCACAGTCCTCTGTGGACTCTTTTTTCTATAGAAAAAAATTCCACAGTCCACTGTGGACTCTTTTCTCTATAGAAAAAAAATCCACAGTACACTGTGGACTCTTTTTTCTAGAGAAAAAAATTCCACAGTCCACTGTGGACTCTTTTTTCTATAGAAAAAAATTCCACAGTCCACTGTGGACTCTTTTTTCTATAGAAAAAAATTCCAAAGTCCTCTGTGGACTCTTTTTTCTATAGAAAAAAAGTTCCACAGTCCTCTGTGGACTCTTTTTTCTATATAAAAAAATTCCACAGTCCTCTGTGGACTCTTTTTTCTATAGAAAAAAATTCCACAGTCCTCTGTGGACTCTTTTTTCTATAGAAAAAAATTCCAAAGTCCTCTGTGGACTCTTTTTTCTATAGAAAAAAATTCCACAGTACTCTGTGGACTTTTTTTCTATAGAAAAAATTCCTCAATCCACTGAGGACTCTTTTTTTCTATAGAAAAAAATTCCACAGACCTCTGTGGACTCTTTTTTCTATAGAAAAAAATTCCACAGTCCACTGTGGACTCTTTTTTCTATAGAAAAAAATTCCACAGTCCACTGTGGACTCTTTTTTCTATAGAAAAAAATTCCACAGTCCACTGTGGACTCTTTTTTCTATAGAAAAAAATTCCACAGTCCACTGTGGACTCTTTTTTCTATAGAAAAAAATTCCACAGTCCACTGTGGACTCTTTTTTCTATAGAAAAAAATCCACAGTCCTCTATGGAATCTTTTTTCTATAGAAAAAAATTCAACATTCCACTGTGGACTCTTTTTTCTATAGAAAAAAATTCCACAGTTCTCTGTGGACACTTTTTTCTATAGAAAAAAATTCCACAGTTCTCTGTGGACACTGTTTTGTATAGAAAAAAATTCCACAGTTCTCTGTGGACACTTTTTTCTATAGAAAAAAATTCCACAGTCCTCTGTGGACTCTTTATTCTATTAAAAAAATCCACAGTTCTCTGTGAACTCTTTTTTCCATAGAAAAAAATTCCACAGTCCTCTGTGGACTCTTTTTGTTATAAAAAAATAAACAATTCGTTGGTGGAGTTCGTGTAAATGTTTCCTTTATTTAATTTATATCATAACATTAAAATAAAATTAATTACTCTGTGCGTATGGACACAATGTCACATTGTAAATTTCGAATATGTCAAATACTATATAAATATATTTTTCCAGTTTCTACTTAAATAAATTGTCAATAATAATTGCAAAGCTTTTAACGTGCATGAATGCATTTTTGCCTTCTCTTCTCGCATTTCTATTATTGATGTTGTTGACCAAACGGGCGAACGTCCGATAGACAGACAGCCAAACAAGAAAAATTTATATCACAACATATTTGAAAATTCAACAATAACCGAACACACAAACGCATACTCGTCCCCTAGCAAAGCTTATGCACACAACCTGTTTGAAACCCGATACCACACAGAAATCGTTGTCGCTATCATTGTGTGTGTGTGTAAGTCTGTGCGTCGTTTGCTTCTATATGAATTTTTAAAATAACCAATAATGAATTATTGCCCATATTTAAAATGGTGATAAGGGTCATTATTGTCTTTACTCGGTAGCTGATTGCGGTTGTCGAGAATAACCTTATAAGCACTTACATTTAACCTTCGACCGACCACCAAGACATTTAATAAAATATTTATTTAGCACAAAATTAAATTAGTTATGCCGACAGACGTAGCTGCCGAAGCAGCAGCACCAATAAAAATGGCAAACAACATAGGCCAAGAAAAAAAGAAAATTGCAAAAACCAAAGAAAAGCCAACACGAATCATAAATGTTCAAAGGGATAGAGGATAAAGAGTGATTGGCTGGTGCATTATTGAATTTTCGTCAAAGTTTATTTTTTTTTTTTTTTTTTTTTTTTGTGTCGGTATAGATGACTACGGGGTACCCTAGATTTTTTCCCTACAGAAAAAAGTGGAAGAAGATTACTGTGGAATTTTTTATACAGAAAAAAGATACCACAGCGGACTGGGGATTTTTTTGCAGAAAAAAGTGTCCATAGATTACTGTGGAATTTGTTTCTATAGAAAAAAGATTCCATAGAGGACTGTGGATTTTTTTCTATGGAAAAAAGAGTCCACAGAGAACTGTGGAATTTTTTTCTATAGAAAAAAGAGTCCACGGAGTACTGTGGATTTTTTTCTATAGAAAAAAGAGTCCACAGAGTACTGTGGAATTTTTTTTCTATAGAAAAAAATTCCACAGCCCTCTGTGGACTCCTTTTTCTATAGAAAAAAATTCCACAGTTCTCTATGGACACTTTTTTTCTATAGAAAAAAGTTCCACAGAGGACTGTGAATTTTTTTCTATATAATTTAGAGCCCACAAAGAATCGTGGTTTTTTTTCTATAGAAAAAGCAGTCCTCAGACGACTGTGGAATTTCTTCTATGGAGAAGAGAGTCCACAGAGGACTGTGGAATTTTGTTTGTATAGAAAAAAGTGTCGACAGAAGGCTGTGAAATTTTTTCTATAGAAAAAATTGTCCACAGAGGGCTGTGGATTTTTTTTCTATGGAAAAAAGAGTCCACAGAGAACTGTGGAATTTTTTTCTATAAAAAAAGAGTCCACAGAGTACTGTGGAATTTTTTTTCTATAGAAAAAAGTGTCTACAGAGGACTGTGGAATTTTGTTTGTATAGAAAAAAGTGTCGACAGAAGGCTGTGGAAAATTGTCCATAGAGGGCTGTGGAATTTTTTTTTATAGAAAAAAGTGTCCACAGAGGGCTGTGGAATTTTTTCTATAAAAAAAGTGTCCACAGAGGGCTGTGGAATTTTTTCTATAGAAAAAAGTGTCCATAGAGAACTGTGGAATTTTTTTCTATAGAAAAAGGAGTCCACAGAGGGCTGTGGAATTTTTTTCTATAGAAAAAAGAGTCCACAGAGGGCTGTGGAATTTTTTTCTATAGAAAAAAGAGTCCACAGAGGGCTGTGGAATTTTTTCTATAAAAAAAAGAGTCCACAGAGGGGTGTGGAATTTTTTTCTATAGAAAAAAGAGTCCACAGAGGGCTGTGGAATTTTTTTCTATAGAAAAAAGTGCCCACAGAGGGCTGTGGATTTTTTTTTCTATAGAAAAATGTGCCCACAGAGGACTGTGGAATTTGTTTCTATAGAAAAAAGTGCCCACAGAGGACTGTGGAATTTTTTTCTATAGAAAAAAGTGCCCACAGAGGACTGTGGAATTTTTTTCTATAGAAAAAAGAGTCCACAGAGGACTGTGAATTTTTTTCTATATAATTTAGAGCCCACAAAGAATCGTGGTTTTTTTTCTATAGAAAAAGCAGTCCTCAGACGACTGTGGAATTTCTTCTATGGAGAAGAGAGTCCACAGAGGGCTGTGGAATTTTTTTCTATAGAAAAAAGATTCCACAGAGAACTATGGATTTTTTTTCTATAGAAAAAAAGTCCACAGAGGACTGTGGATTTTTTCTATATAATTTAGAGCCCACAAAGAATCGTGTTTTTTTTTTTGGATTTTTCTATAGAAAAACGAGTCCACAGAGGGCTGTGGAATTTGTTTCTATAGAAAAAAGATTCCACAGAGGACTATGGAAT